CAAACTTAACTGCTGTGCCACCAGGCCGGCCCCCTCTTTCTTTCTTTCTTTCTTTCTTTTTCTCTCTTTCTTTCCCTCCCTCTTCTCTCTCTCTCTTGCTTTCTTTCTTCTTTCCCTTCCTTCCTTCCTTCCTTTACTCCTTCCGCCTCCCTCCCTCCCTCTTTTTCCCTGTCTCATTCCTCCCTTTCCTCCTATCTTCTATAGAGTCAAATAGTACTAAGCACAAAATAGTTGATGACTGATAGCAATAGCCCCAATCTTTACATAACTGAGAGGCCCCAGGTCAGCCCAAACTGTTGCGAATTCAGACAAGATTAGGGAGGTTCCAGGGCCAGCTGTATTTGTTTGAGGCTGAGGAGTCCCGTGGGGAAGAAACGTCCTGCCAAGGAAGGAAAGTCAAGGTTGTGGCCTGGTCCAAAGATACCGGGCCAGACTATACGGCGACCATCTGCCAAGGACACAGCAGCGGGCATCCCCGCGGCAGCTGGATGGAGGTGCAGGGCTCAGGGCCACCTAGAGGCAGCTGGAGGAAATGAGCGTGGGAGCCCGCGGTGCGGGAAGAGCAGACTCCCAGAGAGAGACGGGAGACATCTCCTGTAGCATTGTCGGACGCTGTCCCAATGCTGCAGGCAGAGGGAAAGACAGGGAAAATGGTGTGGCTTAGGGAATCAGAGTTCTTGTGTGTTTTGAAACATTTTGAGGAAAATCTGAAGAGAAAACTGAGGTGTTTCAAAGAGCACATCCCCTTATCATTTATCATGAGGAAATGCTGATAAAAGGAATCACCTCATTTGTGCTATAGGAGTGTCCTCTGTCCACCAACATCACATTTAGGTCAGAGAGGACCCTCAGATCTCTCATTTCAAAGTTACTCTAATGTGGTTGTTCAAAAGGAAGGCTTTGCTCACTAAAAATGCACCCCTAAAAACGTTGAAAATCTCTCCTCTAAGGAAATAGAGCACAAGGTTTGCTCAACAGAAATAATTACATTTTTAAAAACATAATTCAATCTATGTTGTAAATACTTCTTGCATTTGACCAAAGTATATGTGCTCTTCAAAAATGTCTTCCTCATAATTGCTGCTCTTTAACTCAGAATTAACAAGAAAAAGGTACGCAGATTTGGGGGAAATTTTTTTTTTTTTTGAGGAAGATTAGCCCTGAGCTAACTACTGCCAATCCTTCCCTTTTTGCTGAGGAAGACTGGCCCTGAGCTAACATCCATGCTCATCTTCCTCTACTTTCTATGTGGGACGCCTACCACAGCATGGCGTTTGCCAAGTGGTGCCATGTCCACACCCAGGATCCTAACCGGCAAACCCTGGGCCGCTGAGAAGCGGAATGTGCGAACTTAACTGCTGCGCCACTGGGCCGGCCCCAGATTTGGGGGAAATTTTTATTGCTATTGTTATTATTATAAACCCTTACAATGAATTCATCCCAGTGTGTGTGGCAGTAGCTGGTTATAAGCAAACACTTCTTATTTCTAACTTTAATAATGCTGGATTTTAATAAGCTTTTTAGTAGCAGCTTTAATAATATGGCCTGCCCTCACCACTAAATTTTCTGATTTGTGGATATTAGATCTGTCCATCAGCAAGCACACGCCCAGGCTTCAGCTTGGGCCAGCTCTGACTCTGCTGTGGCCATTAAAAGCCTGTGGTTTATCGTTGGTCCAGAAATACGTATTGTTGGATTCTATGATGTTTTCTAGTTTTTTTTCTTTATTTCCCTATATTAAGAAAGGAGAAAAAACATAAATCGCATGTGGCCTGAAATGAACATCTTCTGGTGATGGTGACTTGTGTTAACTGTGCCTAGCTTTGCTTCTGGTACACAGAACATGTGCCCATTTCAATATTTACAAAATGTATTATTAGGAAATGTAGAATAATAAAACATGAAATGAGGCAAAAGGGTAGGAATTTGGCTTTTATTTTGCTTTTGCTAGAGAGATTTTGTCTCAATCTTGGGACAAACTTGAAAAATAGAGGTTGTTAAGCTAGACTGGAAACAATTCTTAAGCATGAGCAGGACCCATATTGACCTCTTTGGAATTATGCAAATGAAACCTGCTTGGAGGATAGAAAGGGATGGAAGAGATTAGCAGATGACTTTAGAAGAACCCATACAGTAGTATATTTTTTAAAAAACTGATCAATTTAGCAGTAGGAAAAATGATTTGTGATTTGTGTTTGCATGTCTGTGTGCACATAAATGATAAGTCTATTTTCATAGGTCTTACTATTTCTTACCCCCTAGACGTACGCCTGTAGACTCACATATAAATGGTCTGTAGAGAAAGGAGTCTGACTAAATATGGCAGAAACTTCCTCAGTGCCTACCACTTTGTGCTTCTCCTTCCTGCCATTCACTAACATTGATTTCCAGGGGGCCGGCCCAGTGGCGCAGTGGTTAAGTGCACACGTTCTGCTTCAGCAGCCCGGGGTCCGCTGGTTTGGATCCCGGGTGCGGACATGGCACCGCTTGGGAAGCCATGCTGTGGCAGGCATCCCACATGTAAAGTGGAGGAAGATGGGCATGGATGTTAGCTCAGGGCCAGTCTTCCTCAGCAAAAAGAGGAAGATTGGCAGTGGAGGTTAGCTCAGGGCTAACCTTCCTCAAAAAAACAAAACAAAACATTGATTTCCAAAATGTATTCTTTGAAAAATTCTTCTCCCACTCCCCTTTATAGGAAACAGACAATTCTCTTGACATATAAACACCTCTTACCCCAAGTTTACAAGAACATGGATCAGCAGTTTGACCTATCACTTTTGAAAAGCTGTCCATCTTTAACATGAAGGATAACAAAGGAAGTGCAAACATAATAGTGGGTAACGTCTTTACATTATCATTGAGGCTGTAAGCGGAAGGGAAAGGAGAATCTCTGTGAAGAGAAAACTGGGAGAAAAAGTAGAGTTCGCTCTGTTATTAAATATCCTAAGATACGGCATAAAAACCACATAGCACGGTTTTATCCTCAAAGGATGTGAAGGAAATAAAATCTTCAGAAACGGAGGGCTGTGTTTGTGCCAGGGACAGAGCTGAAAAGGACATTTTGTAAGAAAGTCAAACTTCAGCCAGCTATTACTTAGTTTTTTCAGCCCAAGGCCAAAACTCTAAAAATTATGAGAAACTCCTCTTTAAGACTAGATCAAAGGGTTTGGATTATGGCTCCTAGCAGCTAACTCTGCAGAACTATTTCTCCGTACTCACCTCCCTGATGTGATTGCAATGCTTCCTCCCTGGGCTTCAGTCTTCCACTTTCCTTTCTGCGAAAAACCGAGGACCGTTATTAGCATCGTTACCTGATTATTGGTATTACAAATAGCTATTAGCAAATAACCAAAACTGAAAACAATCACATGTTTAGCAACAATCATTTTGTTACACATATCCGGAAGATTTTAAACTCAGCAGTAGGTGATTATGAGAAATGTGACATGTAGAACTTGAACTTTTATGCTGAGCTTATACCAAATGTGTCCAAGTTGAAAGAACTGAGGAATGATGTTGAAGATTCGCACTTAATAGCTGAATTTTATGCCCTTTAAAACTTAAAGGTGAACTGAAAATTTGCCCTCTTCCTACCCTGTAAACTTCTTGAAGCATGACCCTTTTCTCCCTATGGTATTATCACTCCAACTTTGAACAACTGCACTGAGTAATGACTCGTCTGTCACTAGAGGGGGTTAAAGCATTTCCGTCCTCTCTTGCCGTGGGCAAGGAAAGGTTCTAGAAAGTTGTCCTTTCTCCCACTTGGAATGTGTGGGAGTCTGAAACCCCAAATAGAACAGTGCTACACTTTTTTTTTCTTATTTTGTTTTTCTATAAACAAACTTTATCTGTGGCCTTGTAGCAGACAGTCAGTTCCAGGAAACACACAACTAACAATGTCATTCCCCTTGTATTGCACATAATATAAAAACAGAGTTTAAGTAAATATTTGAATTAGGACAATTTGAAAAATTTAACTTTGGAGTAGCCTTTCCCTGGTATGTATTGATCTCTTCTTTCCAGAGTGGCTGTTGCTTTGGATTCAGTATGCCATGCCCGCGCCATTTAAATGAAGCTAGTTCAATGTAATGTAATATACTAGCAGAGCATCATCTTAAAAACTCAGCATTTGCAGATGGGAACTCAAATGAGGAGGGTCTGCTCCTGTTGCATATCAAAGAAAAGCTCGTCTACAGATAGCAGTAGAGCAACCCCTAGTGCTAAATGCAGATATAGCAGAAGATCATCAGTTGCAACCGGCTTATTACATTTCAGGTTAATGTTGCAATTGGATGGCTCTTTTTCTTGGTATTTTAACCGTGGAATTATTCTGTGAAATGACAAGCGTGGACTGGCCAATCTCTAAGGTCGTTTTCAACTTTGTCTGTGATCCTCCAGTTGGGTTATGACTGCGTACCTTTTGTTCTCATTGCCCCACATTCTTTTTAGGGAGCTTGTCTGTTAGATAAAGGAGGCTTGCTTAGGCCGGCTTTTATCTTCTATGTCAATTAGTTTTGTGTGGATTGTGAGGAAGAAGTAGAAAGGCTTATGTACGGGACAATGTGCTGGGGAAGTCCCAAGAAACGCCCTTTTCTCCTCTTAAAAAAAAAAGAAGAAAAGAAAAACCAGAACAGGATATCTGCATTGGTGAAAAGGGAAAGGAAAGTATGGGCCTTTGTATACAAAAATGATATCAACATCTGCTAATAGTAGGTGATGTTTATGCTCTGCCACCCAACTCTTTATGTCATAAGGACACACTTAGTTTATATCAATTCTCCTGTCTCAGAAAAGATCACAGATCATCTGTATGGAAATACAATAGGAGCGTAAGTTTGCATAGCCAAATTCTCTCACGTAAAACTTTTAACATCTTTATTTCATGTTTCTACAGATTAGGGGGAAATACTTATTATCTATGGAAAGTGCTTAGATAAAGAAGTAGATAAAACTTTGAATATGCAGAGATACATAAAAACCATTAAATCAAGTAGATGACCATGAACACAAACTGCTTTAAAAGTTGGCATCACGAGCGGATTAAAAAGGAGCACATCAGAGCTTTCTCCCAGCGGCGGAAGTTCTTGCTGGACTCTCACGAGGTTAGTCTGTGACCTTGTGTCTTCCTCAGTTTGACACAGAGTCATGTGGCAATAGGTCACGTGCTAGGATAGCAAGGCCAAAACAATCCCAGGATGGGTGACTTCAGGGCCCCTCTCCCATGTATCTAGATGTGAATATACATCTACATATATGTGTAAGTGAACACGTATTTACGGTGCAGTCTCACAGCTGGTGAGCTAACCTGGAAGACCTTCCTTGTGTTTCCGTGTGGATTTTCACGGGGAAGGGATGGAGCGATTTAAGGTAACAAGATATTAAATGTTTCTAAGCGAAGGCCTGAAGAGCGGGCTTTCATAGCAAAATGGGCTAGATAAACTAGCAATTGTGCTAAGCAGTGACCTCATGAATTCATTCACTTACTCATTCATCAATACTTCCTAAGCATCTGCTACAGGCAAGGCGTTGTTCTTGGCTCTGCGATATAGCAGAGAATGAAACACAGTCCTTGCCTTCACAGAACTTTCATTCTAGTTGGGAAGACACATAGTAAACAAATGAGCCAAGAGCTACGAAAAATAAAGCCAGGTAGTAATAAGTAAGCTCAGAAAAGGGATGGAGAGAGACTGATGAGGGAAGGTCTGTGATGAGAGGCCCTTCGAGCAGAGCCCTGGGTGAGGGGAGAGAGGGAACCAAATTGTTTGCAGCACCCTTAGTTCACCTTGCTTTCCTATGCGTGTTACAATGTAGGGAAAATGGAGACTCCTCATATTTTAACCACTGCTTAGAAAACACAAGAGTAAGGACTCTGTTTCCTGATCAATCAGAAATGGGTTTAGAAAGGTTCATGCAACCTAGTCCATCTTGTCCGGGGGACAGGCATTGGCCTTGGAGTTCTCTGCCACGTCCAGACCCTCACTGAGTTCTCCGCTCTCCATTCATCCACACCAGGAACGCCATGCCTACAAACGTGACCAGCTCCCTCCCAGCTTTTCATCCCTTTTCAAGAAGCTGGGAGAGAAGAGTCATTCAGTCTTACGTTCCTTCGATCCTTGCTCTTCTCGGCCTTGGCTGTGTTTATTGACAAGTTTCAGTTATTTTATGACGCAGTTACCAGAGCTGGGCTCAGATCACCAATTTGTTACGCAGGCTCCGTTCATCATCCAGCTGGTGGATGCTGGCTCGTGGTTGCTGCCTATTTGTGTGCCATGAGGGACAAAGAGAGGCCTCCTCAGAGGAGCTCCAGATGAAACCTCTCCAGCAAGGATCCAACTGGCCGACACACAGTGTGCAGAGCTTGTTACGTGCCCATTGCTTTCACCAGATACAGGGGGATCCAGCTGGCGGTTGAGCCCTCAAGGAGATAACATTCTTACTGATAAAGGCTTCTTAGGGCCAGGCCACGCAGGCACATTTGCTCCTTTGGGATTTGTTTTAAGTCGTGCAATCCTAGATATGGAAGGAGTCTTAGGAATTATCTAGTCTAACCTCCACATGTTGCTGAGAAGAACACCAAGATTATGAGAGGTTTTCCTTTACTCAAGGTCTCTTTCTACTGTCCCAGGCTGCTCCTCATCTTTTTCTTTAGTTTTAGCCCACACCCCCTCCAGGAGCCATTCAGGAACATTCTCCCAGTCCACCTCCCCACTGAGGGCAAGAGCCCACACATGAAGCCCTGAAAAATGGAAAATTAGCCCCAGCATTCCTATCCTCTAGACAGGGATGGTGAGATTTTTACACCAATACACAGAACTGCAACTTTGGTTTTAGTTCTCCCTTTTGTCTTAAGTTTTAAAAAAGAAATAGCAAGAAATCTCTTTGTTCAGTTCTCTTTTTTTGTTGTTTTGTAACTGGGAGTAGAATGAGCAGTTTGTAGAGAAAAACAAAAATTAGAAACTTCAAAGTCAGGCATTCCTGGCTTCAAAACCAGGATTTGACACGAATTAGTTATGTCTCCTTCCTTATTTAACATCTGGGGACCTCAGTTTTGTCATCTGTAGAGTGGAAATAATAATGACAACTGTAGAGGGCCTGAGTGAACACACCCTCACCGTTCCTCCCTCCCTTTTGCCTTTTACGTGGGTATAACTGGATCAAAAAGTGTGTTTACTTTCTCACTGAACAATTTGACTCTTTCCTTTTTCAAAAGTGCCAAGAGAAGGGACTAAATGAGTGTACATTTCCTGTTTAAGAGGACTTAGAGGTTTGTCCCTAAAAGCAACTTTAAAAACAAGCCTAATCTGAGAACATTTCAGGATACTTAACTTCTTCTTTCTCATTCTGCTTTTTTACCCTCTCTCTTTATTTCCCTTTTGTCTTCCCTACAAACATCTTTTGTAAAATGTACACGAATGGCCCACGCTTCCGTCGCTCCTCTGTCCTGGAATCAACTCTGTGCAACCAAGGCTTTGGATCTGTGAGTGACGCAAGAAGCTGCTTTTGGCTTCAGGAATGTTTTCCTCTATGTTCTGACTCCTCTCTTGTTGTCCTTCTTTCCTCTCCATCTCTTCTCCACCTCTCTTCCCCAGACACCCCCACTGTTCCTCTTTTCCTGTTTTCTTAGGTTCTTCCCCTCTCCTTCGTGGCCAAATCGCCAATCAGTCAGGGTCACCGTCACAATCACGGTTCTATCTATGGCTGCTCTATCTCCGTGATAAAACAAGATAGGAGCAGCCTTTCCAAAAGACAGCCCATCTCCACAGTAGCCTGTGGGAGGCTGCCTGGCAAGGTCAAGTCTGCCAATAAGAGCATTTCCTTACAGCTGCAAGGCTTGGGGGAGCCAACCAACAGCTAGCTGCACAAGTTTGCCGGTGACACATTGAAGTTGTTTTGCTTTGCAAAAACATGGGAAAATTCTGATAGATTCCACATGATTTCAAAACACATTTCAGGGTCAGATATACAAAGGGCAGATAAAATCTGAATTAGGTAAATGCAAGTTGATGCACGAATCTCTATTTAGGTCCAAACATCCTGCAGATTGGAATGCTTTATATTTGACAGTTCCCAGTTGGGGATGGGAAAAATTGAACTTTGCTCTCCTTATACCTTGGGGTATAAGGTATACCATTCTGAGAAGACAGGGTTCACACGAAGTTAAAGTCGAACGGCTAGTAAAAAGGGAAATGTGCATTATGAATGAGCATTGGAAAGAGTTTTAAACCAGTTAAGAAACCGGAAAATTTGGAAAGACAAAAAAGCATATAGAAGATATCCATCCTTGTGGGGGCCGCCCCGTGATTAAGTTTGTGTGTCCTGCTTCGGGGGCCCAGGGTTCAGATCCTGGGCGTGGACATGGCACCGCTCATTAGGCCATGTTGAGGTGGCGTCCCACATGCCACAACTAGAAGGATCCACAACTGAAATATTACAACTATGTACTGAGGGGATTTGGGTAGGAAAAAAAAATAGCAGGGAAAAAAAAAGAAGATTAGCAACAGTTGTTAGCTCAGGTGCCAATCTTTAAAAAAAAAAAAGAAGGGGCCAGCCCAGTGGCCAAGTGGTTAAGTTCGTGTGCTCCGCTGCATGCGGCCCAGTGTTTCGTTGGTTGGAATCCTGGGCGCGGACATGGCACTGCTTGTCAAGCCACGCTGAGGCGGCATCCCACATGCCACAACTAGAAGGACCCACAATGAAGAATATACAACTATGTACCGGGGGGCTTTGGGGAGACAAAGGAAAAAATAAAATCTTTAAAAAAAAAAAAAGAAGATATCCATCCTTGTGTCTACGTGAGAGGTAAATCTTCAGAGTATAGCCTAACACGCCTGTTCCATTGCTCCCACTCTAGGAAGACAGGTTCTGGCTCGGGGCTGACGGGGCACAGAGCATTCTTTCCACTATGACCTACATTCGTGAATGTTCTCAAGGATTATTGAGCCAGCATGGCTGTATATCTGCGTAAAAGTTAGGCCTTTCATTTTATGCAGTTAATAAAGCTAAATCTTTTTATTCCTTTTGTTCTCCCACTTTTTAATTTGAAATTTTCAAACCTACAGAAAAGCTGGAAGAAAGCATAAAGAACACTAACTTACCTAGTTTCACAGGAGGACATTCTCTCATCCGACTCTAACGCCATTCATACTCCCATGACACTTAACATTGATAGACTAGGATGACCTAACATAAACTCCATGTTTAAATTCCACCCCCAATTGTCCCAGTAACCTTTTTATTATCTTTCATGACGTAAATAATTTTGAAGCATCCAGGCTAGTGCTTTGTAAAATGTTCCTGTAATCTGAGTTTGTCTGGTTGTTTCTTTGCCGTTAGATTCACACGACATAGGGGATGGTGTGTGCTTCCATTGCACCACAGCAGGAGGCTATGATGTCAGTCTGTCCCGATAATGGCAATACAGTTTGACCACTTGGTTAAGAAGGGGACTGTCATATTTTCCAGCATAAAGGTGTCCTTTTCCCTTGTGCTTGAATCAGTTGCTGGGGTAGCAGAGCATTGATTTTCTAATTTTCTCATTCTTTTTGTCTAAGTCAGATGAAACCCTCTGTCTCAAACCCAGGTCTTTCTGATCCCAAAGCTCGTGCTCTTTCTGCTGCCAGAGCCACCTCTTTGTGTGTAAGCAAATGAAGCTAGTCATTTGTTGGGAAAATACAGAATTTTAATTTCATCTCTTGTTTATGGCTCTGTTTTCTTTTATCTTGCAAAAATGGACCACTTCTGTAGCTTTGAAAACTACTTTTAAAAAACCCCAAGATTGGGGCCGGCCTGGTGGCCGAGTGGTTGGGTTCATGCGCTCCACTTCGGCGGCCCGGGGTTTTGCTGGTTCGGTTCCTGGACATGGACTTGGCACCACTCATCAGGCCATGCTGAGGCGCATCCCACATAGCACAACCAGAGGCACTCACAACTAGAATATACAACTATATACTGGGGGGCTTTGGGGAGAAGTAGAAGAAGAAAAACAAAGAGAAGATTGACAACAGATGTTAACTCAGGGCCAATCGTTAAAAAACCCCCAAGATTATAGCACACACAGAGCTGTCATTTCTAGGGCTCACATGTATCTACAGAGGGAGAGAATGTCCAAATCAGCTCCTTGCCCTCAGCATCACTGACATGAGTCCACCTCTTTGGGGGTCCAGAGTACTTTTTTTTTTCTTTCCTTTTGTTTTCCAGGGGGTGGGTGGGCGAGTGTTAGAATCAAAACATCAATTTGTTTGGGTGTTTTTTTTTTTTTATATATAGTGGCAAAACTGGATTGAAGAGTTTAGTGGAACGTCTCCATTCTTCCCTGAGCCAAGATGGTGGGATCCTCCTGGGTGAGGGGGAAGGCAAAGTCTGCAAAGATCTTGACTCCACCACCTCCCCTGGGGATTATATACCCGCCTTCCGGTAACTTTGTGCCAAATGGGAGGAGGGGCCCTGGAGGGCGCAGGCGCCCTGGGAGCCTGGCTGGCTGCTGAGCATCAGGAACACAGAGACTTGGTGCATCTGAGAGGAAGCCCAGGCCAGGAGCAGAACAACATTTTCTCTTTTCTCCCAGTAGCTGCCCTCCCCGAAATGCTCCTGGCTGTAAGGAAATGAGTGTGGAAAGATTCCTGCTGAAAGTGCAACCAGGAAAGCCCACAGACAGAACTCTCTAGCTCTATCTCTGTCCCTTCTCTTTGTTTTATTAAGTGACAACAACAGTTCTTCTAATCACTAAGAAATTCATGTTTGCAAGTCACACTGGCAGTGTCAGGGTTAGTGAGTCAGGGTTACAAAGACTGAGAGAGCCCCTCAAATTAAAACAAAAAATATTCTCTTTCTTTGCCCTCTTTGTACTGTTTAATGTGACTATTTCAACAGTCTTTATTTTCCAAACATGCAAACAGGAGAGAGTGATCTGACCCACAGTGTATTGACATACCATGTAGCTATAACCTTGAGATAAAAAGTAAAGGAAAAAGTCAAAACAGCTCAAACCAAAAGCTAACACAAACAAGTCTTTCTCCAGGCCAGACCCCTTCCCTCTGTGAGAGGGAACACACTGGTGTTGATAGACACACGTAGGACTACCCGAGGGCAGACCCACGGAGCCCCAAGTCCATAGCTGGAAAGTCTGATCTATTAATTAATTAATTCGACAAACGTGTATTAAGTATCCACTCTGGGCCAGACACAATTCTAGGTGTTGGGGATGGCTTATGCATCTTGGGACTGTCTAAGACTTGCAAGACCTCTGCCCTTGTGGAACGTAGCTCGTGGCATTAGAAAAAAACAGTCAGAGAATATACCCCCACAGTATCGAGGGGAGACGGGAAATAAGCGCTCTAGCAGAAAGCCTGAGCTGGTTTCCTGGATTCTGTATATCCAGGAACGCAACTGCTTCAAAATCTGGGTCACACTGTGGAATGGCTATTAAAGACGGAAAGACAGAAAAAAGCAGAGAATCAGACAGGAGCTTCTCTCCTCACCATACATGGGAAGGTCGTTTGGGAGCTATTACCAAATTGATCAGGAAGAGTCAAACCTAGTGTTTTATAAGATGATGGATGAAAGCAACAGTAATGACTGTGCCTCCATCCTGTGCTGAAAGAAACCCAAAGATGGGACATCCCAGCGTAATAACAGGTAACTAACCAAGCATCTTTGCTGTGCAGACCTCAGTGCTGAGCACTGACATATATTGGCTCATTTATCTCACCATCTGGTGAGATAAACACTAATTTTACTCCCATTTCTCATATGAAGAAACAGACCTAGAAAGTTAAATAACTTGCCTTTGCCCAAGGACGCAGACTTGGTAGACAGCGGAACTAGAACAGGATTCTAGCTCAGTCTGACACCAAAATCCATGTTCTAAACCACCGCATTTCTATCCATAAGATTATTTTTCATCATTTTATTTCAGGAAAAAGGAGTTAATATTGAACAGGAAAATTATTCGGATGGCTTCAGAAAACGCTTGTATTTTCAAGGTATTATCTTGGAAGACACTGCCACACATCCTAGCAGTCAAAAGCAAATACCACCGCTTTCTCAAATTCATGAGAGATTAAGAGATGAAGTTTTGCAATCGTTTCATGTACATAAATTTGACCTCTAAAATTTGAATTACAATTCAAGAGTTATTAGAGATCAGTATTTTATTCAACCAATAAATTACTCTTCAAAGTTTATTTTACAAGTGCATACATTTCCATCTTTGCACTTTACTTGATAATTGAATTATGTAATAAGAAGATAATTAGGATGAAGCCAGTTCCGTGAAGACAATGCAGAACTCCACAAAGCAGTTTATGCCTAATTGGGGTTGAATCCATATCAAAAGTTCAAAAATAGTTGTAGTAGAATTGAACTTTGAACCAGGGGGAGAGGTCTTGTTTTTGCTTCAAATCATATAATGTAATGAAATGTAATGAAAAGTGATCAGAGTGCTTATTTTTACTTTGTTTTGTGGGAAATTGTGCTGGGAATGTGGATCTATTGTGCACAAAGGATGTTGGCTTTATGCTGGAACCACCAGGCAGGTTGAGTTGAGAAACAATTAGCTCGGTCAGCAAGCCTTTGAATCTGATTAAGCCAGGAAGTGGTCACTCCCCACGACGGGGCAGAATGAAGGGAATGGAGGCGGTAACCCAAAAAGAGGAATGATTTCTTCCTGGCTCTCTCTCTCTGAAGTAAACTAGTATTAGAATTTATTGTATCAAATTTATGTCAAGGATTGTAACATTTTATTATCCTTGGTGAAACAAATAGAAGCTTGTTTCCAAGTAGATCAAACAGTCCCCGTGTGTCATGGCTACTGTCTCTAAGAAACTTCTGTTTATGAAGGCCTGACATGCCCTCGTGTTTTGGTAACAAAACATCTTTGAGATCGAGGATTCAAGTCACAGAGGAAAATTCGGAGCCTATACCCAGCTGCTGGCTGGATTCTCGTTCCCCTGGGAGCTCTCAGTGTATTCTCTGGAGTGATCGCTTTCTTCCCAGTCTTTTCTTACAAGCTTTGGTTCACGGGATGGAGTGTCTGGATTGCCTATCTCATCCGGAATGCAGCTTTGGTAGGAAAATACTTTATTCCATGTGCTGAGAGTAAAGGAAGGAGGGAGGGAAAGAGGAAACAGAATAACATGTCCTTTTTAAGTTTCCAACGTGAAGAAGTCAAAATTCTACAGAAAATCAGAATTTACCTTAGAACATTGATTTCTATGAGTTGCCTCTTAAATATAGGATTTTTCTTAATATTATTTTATATCTACTGAATTTATTGTATACTATAATGAAATGTTCAAGAAATTCTTAACAAGCTATTTTATTTTAGTCTTCTCACCTTGATATTCTGAAAAATTGGAATTTATCTTTTAAAATTTGAATTTGGAAAAAATACATAAACCATGAAAAATAGTTTAAAAATGGAGAACAAAGTAAAATAAGTTTCAGACTAACCCTTTCATTAGAAACATCAAGGTGTGTCTATGTCCCCTGAAGATTTGCAAGCCCAAATTATAAGTCCTCCCACCTTTTTCTTTGCACGCAACTCTTTGAACTGAAACTAATTCAAGAGGTTGGGTGATGGACTTCACTAACTTCACAGCTCACCAGGCAAGCGTGCGTGTGCCAAGGACAAGATGGCATCAAGTAGGTGTTCCATGTCTACTGGTTCACAGATGAAGGATTGACTGGCACCGCAGCTCCCTGGGTCAGCTCTCCTGGGTCTAGCCTTGTGAGTAGGTGTCTTCCGTGATGGTACGATTTATGATTTAAGGTGATGTGATTTGTAGACGCCCGCTGGCACAACAATTCCTTCTCTCACTGTTTCCCATGATGCCTGACATTCACACTGGAGAGTAGACAACTTGATTTTAAAGTCTTTTGATCTTAAGAAATTTTCTATTAAAATGTAACCACTCTTGGGAGAGGCAACATTTTAAGTCTTTGGAAAACCCAAAATTTAACTTGGATATTACCTAAAAGTGAAACCCTAGGAAATATAATTTTAATCTGTTTATTAGATAGATATGTGCTGATAACCTACTACATACTTGAGTTAAAATGGAGAATAAAACAAGTTCTTGATTTTGAAGGAACTCATTCTAGTGGGGTTTAATGACGTGTGTAGATGGGGGAAAGTAAGATGGTGGGGATGTGGAACTGAACAAGGAGACCATTTGATTTTGTTTTTCTTTTTTTATTCTTTTTTAATACATTCTTTTACATGTACCAACGCAGTCTTGATCTGCTTTTTTCCTCTTCTCCTGCCTGAAACCATACGTTCATTCACAGGAATATTTATTAAACATCTACTAGAATGCAGAGATGGCAGTGACATTTACTCCAGTGGCTTCCAAACTTTTTGTTGATGACTCAGAGTAAGAAAAACATTTTACATCAGGACCTGGAGTGTACATAAACTCATCTATATATTTCTCTCTAGGTAAATGGATACCCATTGATATAGCATATAACTAGATCTATATTACAAAAGCTTCACAAAACAATATTTAACCTTCAGTGTGAAATGAATTCTATTTTCTATCCTAATTAATATTTTTAAAAAATCTGACTTTGCAACTGACCCAAAGTTTAACAAAACTGTAAGTATAGCCCTATCTTGCATCCCTTCCTTATAACTCTTTGCCTATCCCTGTGGAGTCTATCATAATACATTCAACAGATATTGGTGATTTGATTAGGATTACAAATTATTGAATATAGGCTCGTTCAACATCAAATATCTGTTTTATCAATGAGGCCCAGAGAAATGATATGATGTGTCTCCAGCATGTAGCTAGCTGGTGGCTATTTGATTTTTGTTGTTGTTGTTGTTGTTGAGAAAGATTGGCCCTGAGCTAACACCTGTGCCCATCTTCCTCTATTTTATATGTGGGACGCCTGCCACAGCATGGCTTGATAAGCAGCGGGTAGGTCCATGCCTGGGACTCGAACAAGCGGACCCCAGGCCACCAAAGCAGAGTGTGCCAACTTAACTGCTACGCCACAGGACTGGCCCCTGGTGGCTATTTGATTTGGAGAGTGACCGCATGAGGAAGTGAAGTCAGAGAGGTAGAAGCTGGAGAGGTGGGGACCCGTGTTCAAGTCCCGACTTTGACGTTCTCGGTATGTGGTCAAGAGCAGGACCCTCACTCAGCCAGTTCCTCATTGCCTTTTCCTGGAAAATGGGGCGTTTTACAGGTAAAGAACGCCCCTGTGAAACCGTCTAACCCTAAATTGCTCAGTGAGAATGAACGCAATTTGAACAAAGATTGTATAGTAAAGAGCTCTGACAATTTAAAATTTAAGCCCTGCACAAGTGCTAGTTAATTCCATGCCTTTCAGTTGTGCCCTACTCTCTGTCCAAGCCCTTTGTTCTTAATCCCTTGCCGTCTGCTCACTCTCCTGTCCCATTCCCTGACGACCTGCTGAGTTCTCCATCCTGTTATGTCCTGGACCTCATCTCCTACCACTCTTCCCTTAGCTCATTTCTTTCTCATCACACCGGCTCCTTGTTATTTTCAAATATGCCAAGGTGTGTTTCTGCCTCAGGGCCTTTGCACTGCTTGTTCTCTGCCTGAAGCCTCTTCCCATACATGGCTTGTTCCCTAAGCTCCTTCAATTCTATGAACAAATGTCACTTTCTCAGTGACACTTTCCCTCATTACCCTTATCACACTATTTAAAATTGCAAATCTCTCCCTGACTGGCATTCCCAATCTCTCATGTGTGGCTCTATGCTTTCCCCCATAGCCCTTATCACCATCCAACATACTAAATAATTTACTTATTTATTGTTTGTTTGTCCCCTTCCCCCAAAATGAATATCATACCAGGGTAGGGATTTTTTTTCTGTTTTGCTTTCTGCTGCATCTCCAGCACGTGGAACAGAGAGAGTCAATAAATATTGTTGAATAAGAGAAGGAGTCCCATGACCTCCATTCTGGTGGTACAGAATTCCCTGCAAAGTTGAACTCTGATTAGGTTGCAAGGATTAAAGGTCAAGCTGGTATTTGTACTAAAACAGGAAAAAATCCTCCTGAGAAGGAAAGCAATAAGAATGCTCACTCTTTCAATAATGTGTAAATTTGGAACAACGTGATTTTTTTCCTAGCGAGTTTCCTAGCGAACCACAGCTCTGTTTGATCAGGGTCAACTTCAAAAGGTCTCTGACTCACTCCACAACCTTCCTTGCCAGTCACTTCTCAACTTGCCTGCAAATTGTATCTCCCTCTGATGGAAAGATAATTTGTACTTTTCAATCAGATTGACATTTCCTTTTGCAAATGACTCCCTATCTCCTTTGAGACTTGTAAGAGACAGATTTTTACAAGCGATACAGTACTTTGTATTCGTTCTGTGCCTTTCATTCAAGGCTTTCTAAATTCTTCACAATTATTGGTCCTCAGACTCTCCTAGCTCTATTCTGACAGCCGCACGATAAGCAGTTTTCCTAGAATTTCTGAACTAGGTTATTTAAAGGCATCAGCTGCTAGAAAGTATGCAGCAAGGAGATCATAGTGCCCTAAGGACTGAGCTCTACTTTAATCCTGGAAAGCCTGGCTTGTAGATCAAGCTCTGATGAAGAGACTCAAGCACAGTGAGTTTAGGGACCTGGAGCCGGGAGGGTCAGTGACTGGGCCAGCGGTGGCAGCTGTGCTGCATCCAGAGCCCGGCTTGGAGACAGGAAGTTGGGAGAAAGGCAGGACCAGGCCTATCCATGCGAGTCCCAGTTTCCTCTTCTGTTAGAGAAGGGACTTCATCGCACCATAGCTCAGGTCTCTTAGAGCTTCAACAGTCCTGGGGTTTGCAACCACCTGATGGTGAATTTTCCACTTAGATATCCTGAGATTCTTTAAGCTTAGCTTGTGCAAAAAAATTAATCAGTTGACCACCAAAAGCAATTATTTCTTCGCCTGACTTGCCTGTCTTTGAACCCAATTTCAAAGCCTGGAGTGACTTTTGACCCAGTCGTTTCCTCTAAACTAGTGTTTCCCAAGTTGTAACGTGCGTACAAATAACCCGGGGTTGGTGTTAAAATGCAGACTGGATGGGTAAGTCTGGAGCGAGGCTGAGATGCTGCAGGTCTGACACTTCCCAAGAGATGCTGATGCTGCTGGGCCTTAGGACTGTGCTTCGGGCAGCCATGCCCTCAGCCAGCCACCCCACCACACCTAGTCAGTTGCCAAGGAGCTTTGATTTTCTCTAAGAGGCACATCCCTACACATTCCTTCCTTTTCTCTCTGTAAACCCCATCACCACCCTTAGCACTTCCCACCCCCACCCAACTTTTATGCCTAGATAAGTTTGATAGCCAAACAGCGAGAATCTATCCATCAGGGGCTTATAAAAATCAATCTATTGCACTTACAAAACATGAGCAGAATAGAATAGAGAATATTAGAATGTATCACACATAATAAGGGTAATATTATTTTGGTTATATATAAAGATACTTATAACTTGGCCATGATGTAAAATATATTTCTTACTGTGGGTAGATGTTAAAAAAAAAAAAAATGTTTGGAGACTTTATTGCCCAAAGTCCAGATGTGTTAGTTTGAATTTTGAGGCCCTCCTCAACCTGGCTTCACATGGCTTTCAAGCCTGATTTTATGCTCTTCTCAGTCAAGAACCTACCCTCCCACTGGTCTGGGTTCCTCATTCACTGGTCCCAAAGAGTGACTGCCATTCCTCTCTGCCATCTCCCATTGAAATCACATCCATCCTTCAAACTCTTTTTAGATCCTATTTCCCCCATGGTGCCTCTATCAATTATTATTTCCCCCAGAAGTGGTATCTGGTCACTGAGCTCTGCTCACATAAAAAGCACTCACTCTTTCTTCTTCTTCTTCTTTTTGGTGAGGAAGATGGGCCCTGAGCTAACATCTGTGCCCATCTTCCTCTATTTTATATGTAGGACACCTGCCACATCGTGGCTTGATAAATGGTACATGGGTCTGTGCCCAGGATCCAAACCCACGAACACCAGGCCACCAAAGCGGAGTGTGCAAAGTTAACCACTACACCATCCAACACTCACTCTTCTTGCCTAAGTTTTTGGACATTCTTATAAGTGCACTTTCACATCTGGAGTGTCAGTTCCATGGAGAGTTGGAACCACTCTTTATAGAATTATTACTTGGTGAGCTTGCCCATCTCATTTAGCCTCTCTGGTCTCACTTAAAAAGTAGGAGAAGCTCTACATAATGGGGTCATTTATTATGAGGAGTAAATGAGTTAACACGGGTAGGGTTTACTATGGTGCCTGGCACAGAGTAAGCGCTCAGCAAAAGTTAACTGTTATTAGCATTAGTGTGTCTGCGCACTACCTGTCACATCCCTTGTTCCTAGTGGACCCACAATAGATGTTTGTAAGTGAACAAATCAGCCCGTATTTAAATGATTCCTCTGAAAGTTTCTATTTCTGCTGTGACTGCTCCCGCTTCCTTCAATTCATCTCCTTCTGGGAACCGCATCCTTTACTTGGGCAATTTAAAGATTTAATGGGAGGGCTCACAATGATCACGTAAGCAGATGCGAGCAGCAACTGTTGCAAAACCCAAGTAAGGTCCCTGGAGCTGCCCGGAGAGCAAGTCAATGGGCTGTCAAGAAGAGCTGAGGGAGCAGAGTGCAGGACGGGCCGCTCTGTCCGGCCTCACAAGCTGGCTGCCCTGCTCTGCCCAGCTCTCCATCTCTCAGACGCTCCCTCTGTCCCACTTCCTTCTCCCGCTTGAATTCCTCAGATCTCTTCCTTTTTTATTCTTTCACCCTTCCCTATCTAAAAACAAAATTTAAAAGAAGAAATGACAGGAAGAGAAGAGGCAGGCTGTGACTATTGGTGTGGAAGAAGGCCCCCCGTAAAGACGGGTGTGCTCGGCCCCCCGGGCCACCGTCCCCAGGGTGGATTTAACAAGTCACTGAATGGCATTCGTACACCAGCCTACTCCATGAACCATCTTTTTCAAAGTTTTGTGTAAACAAAGCAAAATTCAAGCTGGCAGCTACAACAGAAATAACAGGCCACTGCAATTCGGCAGCATTTTTTAACTTTTGAAAGGAAAGGAGCGGTTCATGCCAAAGCTGTTACAGCAACCTGGAATCTAAGCATCTGATAATGTCAGCTATCTACTTGAAGTCAAACCGGCAGAGCGGTGGCTCCATGGCCTTTTATCTCTTCGCTTAGCTGTTTCTCTCTCACAGAAGAGTGACGTGTCCAGTGAGCATTTTGCCTCTGAAGGCGTACACTGGCCCCAGGCTTAGCATCAGTCTTGATAATTCTCCTGTTTTGTTGCACTATTTGTGCTGGCTCAACCTCCATAGGGTCCCTTGGAAGCTTTGCTCTTGCAGAATCAAGCCAACCTCTTTGACTACAGATGGTTCTGTTTTTATCCATGGGAGTTTTACGGTATGGCGATGCCAAGTCTGGAATTTCAGGCTTAGCTACATGAGAAGCTTTGTGTGAGTGTACGTGTGTGTGCTTTTTTCCCTCTCTCTCAAATTCTCTAAATCCAACATTCAAAATAAAATATGCCAGGAAAATGAAAAGCTAGGTCTCAAAACAATAAATATGCCAGACCCGGAGCTACAAAAGCAGCATACCACAAAACCATATTGGTAAAAGCTCTGATTTTTTTCTCCCCTTAAATTTGTTGATACTATACGTGCAGTCATGTTTATTTCTCTGTCGAAAACCTAAATTATAACTATTTTTAGTTCTGTCCTCATTCTATATCTTATTTCAGGCACCTCTCTTCCTGGGTTTCTCTCTCAACCTCAAAACATTCCTTGACTAGGAACAAATGATTTATGGGTTGGGAATAAACGATTTTCAGGCTCAATGACCACAAAGGTCTCTTTCATCAGACCCAGTGCCGAATCAAAGATGAGCCCAGAATTTTTTTTTTCCGTTATCTATTGCTCAATTCTGGTGACACCATTCCCTCCTTTGTTTAGCTATTTGGGGCCTTTTTCCTTCAATGGAGACTATAAAGAACTCTCTTTTGAAAAGCTGGACACCACTGCACCCAGAACAATAAATGCCTCATCATGCATTCATTCTAATGATAATCTTCGTTACTTGAGAAACCAGGATCACGTATTTGTGTCCCACCAGCAGGCTGGCTGCAGGAGCTCAAAAGAAAGCAAGTAGTAAAAGATAATGCTGCCGCTCGGAGTGTTTCCAGGGTTCTGTGACACATTTCCATTCTGGCCCCTCCCATTTGAAATTTTAGCAATTTGTGAGAAAGATGCACAATAGACAATTAATCAAAATAAAACATATGGCAAGGGTTATAAAGCCAAGCTTTTATTGCAGTGACACCTTACAGTAGTGAAGGTTATAATTGTGATGGCAAAGGCAACACAGAAAATCAAAAAACGTGCTTGTCTCAAGCATGTCTTTATGACACTGATGGCTTGTTTTCCTCATTGTCACCACCGGTGAGCAGGAGATCAGTGCCATAAATCCATTTAGCCATTTGCTGTTTCTTCTAGTTCCCGATAAAGTTGTCAAACTGTAAGACAGATTGAACTCTTCCCTGAGGTACATTTTATCATGGTTGTTATTTTTCCATCTTCCTTTTGTAGGCTGTCACTACCGGTAAACTCCTACTGTTGGCTCACAAACAGCGGACCCAGAGATACCCGGTAAATGGACAGACATCGAGTAGGATGGTAGAATGGGTCTGAAGGTCAAATCTCTACTGTGTCAGGATGGAACACAGAGAATGCCACTTTCAATTATAATTGAATTCTGTCTGATCACTGCCTTCCTGTGATGGATTTCAGTAATAAACTAGGTTTTAGATGAACATTTGTTATCTGATTCCTGCTCCAAACATTTTCTGCCTGTTCCTGTGATGATCGTATTTGAGTATTGTAATTTGGGGAGGACAGAACCAGTGTTACTGCTGCTGAATTTCATTTGAAAAAATGGATCTCTAGGCTCCTCTGTTTTTAATAATGCATTTTCAAGTCTCAGCTCCTCAATTTGGGATCTCCTTCCGAGCTCTCTGTTACCTCTCCCCCTGAAAAAGAATGAAAAGTCTATGATGTCTTGCATTTCAACAGTATAGAGCCAAGGAATCCTGTGATACAGACAGTCTACCTTGATCTGATTATGGATCTTGTTCCCATGGCTACAGCACTGCCCCTCAAACTCTAACATATGTGTGAATCACTGGGGATCTGGTTAAAATGCAGATTCTAGTTCAGAAGATCTGGGTGAGGTCTGAGATTGTACATATATATTTTTTGTTTTTATTATTATTATTATTTTATTGTGGTAACAGTGGTTTATAGCATTAAATAAGTTTCAGGTATACATCATTATATTTCTATTTCTATGTAGATTACATCATGTTCTCCTCTCAAAGAGTAATTACAATCCATCACCATAACACATGTGCCTAATCACCCCTTTTGCCCTCCTCCCTTCTCTCTTCCCCTCTGGTAACCACCAATCCAATCTCTGTCTCTGCTTGTTTGTTGTTGTTTTTATATTCTATTTACGAGTAAGAGTATACAGTATTTCACTTTCTCCCTCTGACTTATTTCACTTAGCGTAATACCCTCAAGGTCCATCCATGTTGTCACCAATGGCAAGATTTCATCTTTTTTATGGCTGAGTAGTATTCCATCGTGTATATATACCACATCTTCTTTATCCATTCGTCCCTTGATGGACACCTAGGTTGCTTCCAAGTCTTAGCTATTGTGAATAATGCTACGATGAACAAAGGGGTGCATGTATCTTTACACATTCGTGTTTTGAAGTTCTTTGGATAAATACCCAGCAGTGGAATAGCTGGATCATATGGTAGGTCTAGTCTTAATTTTCTGAGGAAACTCCATACTGTTTTCCACAGCAGCTGCACCAGTTTGCATTCCCACCAGCAGTATATGACTGTTCCCTTCTCTCCACCTCCTCTCCAACACTTATTGTTTCCTGTCTTGTTAATTATAGCCATTCTGACTGCAGTGAGATGATATCTCATTGTAGATTTGATTTGCATTTCTCTCATAGTTAATGATGTTGAACATCTTTTCATGTGCCTGTTGGCCATCTGTGTATTTTCTTTGGAGAAATCTCTGTTCAGATCTTTTGCTCATTTTTTAATTGGGTTGTTGGTTTTTTTGCTGGTGAGATGTATTAGTTCTTTGTATATTTTGGATATCAACCCCTTATCTGATATACGGTTTGCAAATATCTTCTCCCAATTGTTAGGTTGTCTTTTCATTCTGTTGATGGTTTCCTTTGCTGTACAGAGCTTTTTAGTTTGATGTAGTCCCATTTGTTTATTTTTTCTATTGTTTCCCTTGCCCGGTCAGACACTGCATTTGAAAAAACGTTGCTAAAATCAATGTCAGAGAGCATACTGCCTATGTTTTCTTCTAGGAGTTTCATGGTTTCAGGTCTTACATTCAGGTCTTTAATCCATTTTGAGTTGATTTTTGTGCATGGTGTAAGATAATGGTCTACTTTCATTCTTTTGCTTGTCTTCAATTTCTTTCAACAATGTTTTATAGGTTTCAGTGTTCACCTCTTTGGTTAAGTATATTCCTAGGTATTTTATTCTTTTTGCCGCAATTGTAAATGGGATTGTGTTTTTAATTTCTCTTTCTGCTACTTCATTGTCAGTGTATAGAAATGCAACTGAATTTTGTATGTTGATTTTGTATCCTTCAAGTTTACCATATTCATTTATTATTTCTAAAAGCTTTTTGATGGATTGTTTAGGATTTTCTATATATAAAACCATGTCATCTGCAAATAGTGACAGTTTCACTCCTTCCTTTCCAATTTGGATCCCTTTTATTTCTTTTTCTTGCCTGATTGCTCTGGCTAGGACTTCCAATACTATGTTAAATAAGAGTAGGGAAAGTGGACATCCTTGTCTGGTTCCTGTTCTTAGAGGGATAGCTTTCAGTTTTTCTTCATTGAGAATGATATTAGCTGTGGGTTTGTCATATATGGCCTTTATTATGTTGAGGTACTTTCCTTCTATACCCACTTTATTCAGAGTTTTTATCATAAGTGGACGCTGGATCTTGCCAAATGCTTTCTCTGCATCTATTGAGATGATCATGTGACTTTTATTATTTATTTTGTTAATGTGGTGTATCACGTTGATAGATTTGCAGATGTTGAACCATCCCTGCATCCCTGGAATGAAACCCGCTTGATCATGATGTATGATCTTTTTAATGTATTGTTGTATTCGATTTGCTGGTATTTTGTTGAGGATCTTTGCAACGATGTTCATCAGTGATATTTGCCTGTAATTTTCTTTTTTTGTGTTGTCCTTGTCTGGTTTTGGTATCAGGATAATGTTGGCTTCATAGAATGAGTTAGGAAGCTTCCCCTCCTCTTCAATTTTTTGGAAGAGTTTGAGAAGGATAGGCATTAAATCTTCTTTGAATGTTTGGCAGAATTCACCAGGGAAGCCATCTGGTCCTGGACTTTTATTTTCTGGGAGGTTTTTGATTACTGTTTTAATCTCTTACTGGTGAGTGGTCTATTCAAATTCTCTATTTCTTCTTGATTCGGTTTTGGAAGATTGTATGATTCTAAGAATTTATACATTCCTTCTAGATTATCCAGTTTATTGGCATATAGCTTTTTGTAGTATTTGCTTATAATCTTTTGCATTTCTGAGGTGTCCATTGTAATTTCTCCTCTTTCATTCCTGATTTTATTTATTTGAGACTTCTCTCTTTTTTTCTTGGTGAGTCTAGGTAAAAGTTTGTCAATTTGTTTATCTCTTCAAAGAACCAACTCTCAGTTTCATTGAATTTTTTTTGTTTACTTTTTTTTTTTTTTTTTTTGGTGAGGAAGATTGGCCCTGAGCTAACATCCAAGCCAATCTTCCTCTATTTTGTATGTAGGACACTGCCACAGCATGGCTTGATGAATGGTGTGCAGGTCCGTGCCCAGGATCCAAACCTGTGAACCCCAGGCCACTGAAGCAGAGCATGCAAACTTAACCAGGCCAGCCCCTTTCTCTTATTTTTTAGTCTCTATTTCATTTATTTCTGATATGATTTTTATTATTTCCTTCCTTCTACTGACTTTGGGCTTTGTTCTTATTTTTCCAGTTCCTTTAGGTACATTGTTAGATTGTTTATGTGAGATTTTCTTGTTTGTTGAGGTAGGCTTGTATTGCTATAAAGTGCCCTCTTAGAACCTCTTTTGCTGTATCTCGTATATTTTGGCATGTCGTATTTTCATTTTCATTTGTCTTCAGGTATTTTTTTATTTCTCCTTTGATTTCTTCATTGACCCAATCATTGTTCAGTAGCATTTTGTTTAATCTCCCCATATTTGTGGCTTTTCTGATTTTCTTGCTGTAGTTGATTCCTAGTTTCATACTGCTGTGGTCAGAAAAGATGTGTGGTATTATTTCAGTCCTCTTAAAATTATTGAGACTTGTTTTATGTCCTAATAGGTGATCAATCTTGGGTAATGTTCCGTGTGCATTTGAAAAGAATGTGTACCCTGCAGTTTTTGGATGGAATGTCCTATATATATCTACTAAATCCATCTGGTTCAATGTGTCATTTAAGGCCAATGTTTCCTTATTGATCTTCTGTTTGGATGATCTAGCCATTGGTGTAAGTGGAGTGTTAAAGTCCCCTACTATTATTGTGTTGCTCTCTCTTTCTCTTTTTATGCCTATTAATATTTGCTTTATATATTTAGGTGCTCCTATGTTGAGTGCATAGATATTTACAAGTGCTGTATCCTCTTGTTGGATTGTTCCCTTTATCACTATGTAGTGCCCTTCTTTGTCTCTTGTTACAGTTTTTGTTTTAAAGTCTATTTTGTCTCATATAAGTATTGCTACCCCCACTTTCTTTTCATTGCCATTTGCATGGAGTGTCTTTTTCCATCCTTTCACTTTCAGTGTGTGAGTGTCTTTAGGTCTAGAGTATCTCTCTTGTGTGCAGCATTTACACAGGTCTTGTTTTTTCACCCAGTCGGCCACCCTATGCCTTTTTATTGGAGAATTTAGTCCATTGACATTTAAGGTAGCTATAGATAAGAATGTACTTATTGCCGCTTTTTTTCTTTTTTTCTGGGTGTTCTAGTAGTTCTTCTCTATTCCTTTCTTCTTCTCTTGCTCTCTTCCCTTGTGGTTTGATGGCTTTCTTTAGTATTATGTTTGAGTTCCTTTCTCTTAATTTCTTGTGTGTTTATTATAGGTTTCTTATTTATGATTACCATGAGATTCGTCTATAATAACCCACATACATAGCAATCTTTATAAAGTTGATGGTCTCTTTAGTTTAATCTCTTGCTATAAGCTCTACTCTTTCACTCCCCTCCTCCCACATTTTATGTTTTTGATATCATATCTAACCTCTTTTTTTGTGCACGGTGTATCCACCACCGGCTCATCATGGAAATAGATAATTTAGTACTTTGTCTTTTGACCTTCTTATTAGCTTCATACATGATTCTTCTCCTACCTTCACTGTGTGTTTGCCTTACCAGTGATTTTATTTTATTTTTTGGATAATTTTCTTATTCTTATTTGTGGTCTTCTCTTTTCCACTTAAATAAGTCCCTTTAGCATTTCTTGTAAGGCTGGTTTTTTGGTGATAAACTCCTTCAGTTTTTGCTTGTCTGGGGAACTCTTTATGGCTCCTTCCATTCTGAATCATAAACTTGCCAGAAAGAGTATTCTTGGCTGTTGGTTTTTTCTTTTCAGCACTTTAAATATATCACGCCACTCCCTTCTAGCTTGTAGGATTTCTGCTGAGAAGTCATCTGATAGCCTTATGGGGTTTCCTTTGTATGTAACTTGTTCCATTTTTCTTGCAGCTTTTAGGATTCTCTCTTTATCTTTAATTCTTGACATTTTAATTATAATGTGTCTTGGTGTGGATCTTTTTGGGTTTATCTTGTTTGGTGCTCTCTGTGCTTCCTGCACCCGGATGTCTGTTTCCTTCCTTAGGTTAGGAAAGTTTTCAGCTATTATTTCTTAAAATAGATTCTCTGCTCCTTTGTCTTTCTCTTCTCTGTCTGGGATACCTATAGTATTGATGTTAATGTGCATGATATTGTCCCGGAAGTCCCTTAGACTGTTCTCATTCTTTTTTTTTTTTTTTTTTTGAGGAAGATTAGCCCTGAGCTAACATCTCTGCCAATCCTCTTCTTTTTGCTGAGGAGGATTGGCCCTGAGCTAACATCTGTGCCCATCTTCCTCTGTTTTATATGTGGGACGCCTGCCATAGCATGACTTGACAAGTGGTGCACAGGTCCACACCCAGGATCCAAACTGGTGAACCCCGGGCTGCTGAAGTGGAACATGAGAACTTAACTGCTATGCCACCAGGCCAGCCCCTTGTCCTCATTCTTTATAATTCTTTTTTCTTTTATCTGTTAAGCTGGGGTGGTTTCCTATAGTCTCTCATCCAGCTCACTGATATTCATTCTTCTGTATCACCTACTCTGCTGTTGAGTCCTCTGGTGACTTTTTCATTTCCAGTATTGTATTCTTCATTTCTGATTGGTTCTTTTTTATATTTTCCAATTCTTTGTTGAAGTTCTCACTAAGCTCATCCATTCTTCTCCCAAGATCAGTGAGCATCTTTATGAATATTAGTTTGTACTCTTTGTCAGGTAGATCATTAATCTCTGTTTTGTTTAGTTCTTTTTCTGGGGTTTTCTCCTGTTTCCTTATTTGGAATGTATTCCTTTGTCTCCTCATTTTGCCTCTTTCTCTGTGTGCATATCTACATATTAGGTAGGTCAGCTATGTCTCCTGATCTTGGAGAAGTGGTGTAATGAGGCCCAGGAGTGTGCTTCCCTCTTGGCACCAGTTCCAAATATTCCAGGAGTGTCCCCTCTGTGGGCTACATGTGTCCTTCTGTTTTGACAGGGTTGCTCTTACTGCAGGTCTTGGGGAGGCTAAGCTGTCCCCCTGGCCATTTGGTTGTAATGCTCAGTTGCATGTAGCTGCTCTGGTCCCTTCAGTTGCTTTATCAGGCATGGGAATCCCAGCACAGTTGGCTGCAAGATCTAATAGCACATTCTTGTTGCAGTTTTTCTGTTAAGTGAGTAGGCCCCCAGCATGGCTGGTTGGTAGGCTCAGGGCTTACAATTGCTGTAGACCTCTGGCCCACAAGGCTCTTGTCAGCTTTCTCAGGATTGCAGGTGAGTGGATCTGGCCCCAAACATGGAGTACATAACTGTTTCAGACTTTGGAAGGTGGGGCCAATCCGCTATGTGGCTGTTTGAGAAGCACAAGTCTTCTGAAGCTAACAAGCCCCCTGCCCTCAGGGCCACATACTCCATCAACACAATCCTGTCAACACAGTCTTGCTCCAGGCACACACCCTAACTCACTGAAGGGAACCCAGTTGCCCCACTGCAGAGGCCTCACACACTCCACCAGTGCAGACCCACCCCTCATGCATGGCCTTCACCACAGAGGTGGATCCACTCACCTGGCTGCAGAGGTTCCAGGTACCCTGCCTATGAGGGCCCACAGGTTGCCCAAGGGCTTGCTGTTGGATGGGGCCAGTCCCTAAGGAGTACTGCGTGCCCTGGCTGAGCTGGATTAAATCAGTGCTCTAGTAGGTGGAGAAGACCCCTGGGCTAACAGGCCAGGGAAAGAACTCCACTGACATCTGCCAGTGTCTGTGTCAGCACACCTGCACTAGGTCACAATAATGGCTGCTGCCAGTGTCTCAGCATCTGGGGAGGTGGTCTCAGTCTGAGTCTCACCTCTCATCAAGATGTGCCCAGAGCCTATCAGGTGGGTCTCTTTTCACCAAAGAATGGTGCATCTTTCTTTCTGGCGATTTTAGGTTGCCTTTGAAAACAGGTGAATTTGTGTGTGGGCCCTTTAAAGGCAGAGTTTTCTTCCCCTTATGTCTGATATCTTCTCTGGGGTTATTCCCTATTGTAGTTAATAGCCAGCAAGCCAGGTATTATGACTCCTGTCTTGGTTGCTGAGTTCAAGACCTGCATGTTGTGGTAATGCTCCCTGCTCAGGTCCCCACTCCTCCAGGGAAGGCTGCATATCTTGAGATTGCTCCCCACTGGCAGTGAAGCACTGAGGCTAGAAGGTGGCATTTTTCTCTCCAAAAAGGAATTTTTGCCTCTTCCACCTCAGTCAGCACTGTCCCATGTTGTGGAGGTTCTTTGTATCTGGTTTTCAGTTCTCTCTCAGGGATGATTGTTCCAAGAGTAGCTGTAAATTTGTTGTGTCCATGGGAAGAGGTGAGTTCCCAGTCCACCTACACCACCATCCTGACACCATCCCTCTGAGATTCTACATGTCTAACAACTCCCAGGGGATGTTAGTGCTCCTGAACCATGGATCACACTCCGATTAGCAAGGTCCTAGGATAAGGCAGGGGTTCTGTCTATTCCTCTTTGTTTTTCCCACTCCAGACATGTTCTAATACATGACAGGAGATAAAAATAAATGTTTGTGGAATGAATTGATTTTGTTTTGGCCCCAGTTGGCTGATATATTATTCTCCCATAGTGAAGATTCAAGAGGAGAACACAAGAACCTAAAAAGAAGGTTGTCATCCACTTTTTCATTTCCCAGTCAGAGGGAATAATACCCAGTTTCTCTTTCTTTCTTCACATTGCTGAGAAGCTTTTGAAAAATCTGGTACCCAAAGTAACAATTTGTTTCTGCTTTATTTTCAGTGGGAGGCTAGTTTCACCTTTGTGATTCTGAGCATTATGGGATGTCCACTTCATTTTGCAGTAGCCTTGGAATCTGCTCTCCTTGGTCCCTATTGCTTCTACTCATTTTCAGGGATTGCAGGGACCAATTACCTTGGCTATGCAGTTGCCTTTCCTTTTCCGTATGCAAAATTCCCATCAGTTTGTGTGGACCCACCACACTATGAAGACTACCACCTGATGCTCCAAGCTTTCAACCTGTGCCTGAGCTTTGTCATGCTCTGTGTGTCCCTGACAGCTCTCTTCAACCTTTCTGCAAGACTTATCAAGAATGGACACATAAATGTAAGCTTCCAGAAAGGAGGAGTCAGTTCTTGTTCTATCCTGAATGCTAAAAGTCTGGTGTATTAGTATTTCATCTATCTCTCTTATTTACCACTTATGTACCCTGTATAACCATGCTAGCCAGTGTCTGGCACATCATAGATGCTAGTTAGTGTCTGGCACATCATAGGTGCTCAATAATTGTTTTTGAATGAATAGATGAATGGAAATATGTTGATGTGATAACTGAAGGTATAACTGTAGGTAGCAGCAGCCAATTTTTATCTCAACCCACAATTTAAAAAACTACTAATAGAGACAAATGCTATGAGATCTTTGTGGAAACTGAAAGCAGCATCTTTAATTTTTTTGTATGTGTGTGAGGAAGATTGGCCCTGAGCTAACATCAGTTGCCAATCTTCCTCTTTTTTTTTTCCTCCCCAAAGCCATAGTGTATAGTTGTATATCCTAGTTGTAAGTCCTTCTATTTCTTCTATGTCAGACTCCACCACAGCGTGGCTTGATGAGTGGTGTGTAGGTCTTCGCCCAGGATCCAAACCAGTGAACCCTGCGCCACCAAAACAGAACGCATGAGCTTAACCACTATGCCACCAGCCAGCCCCACTAATATTTTTAATATTAGTCAAATATGGATACCTTAATTTAGCTTCTATCCCATGAACTCAGAAAGATACACATGCTCTTTGGCTAGAAAAGACATAGAAGAAATTCGCCCACTCTTTCTACTCCTATCCCAGCAGAGAAGCTGTTGTAGGCCAACATCAAATTTAACTTTCTAATATTTTCCAGGACGATCAGTAATATTAATGATATGATAATAATAGAAATAGGAACTGAAAGTTTACTATGTGTCAGTGTATTTTCCCATTTTACAGATAGTAAACTGAGGCTAAAGAGTTTATGTAACTTGCCCAAGATCGCACAGCTAGTGAGTAGTAGGGCCGGATTCAGAAGCCACATTCTCTTAATCAGGCCAGATTTATCCCAGACCTCCTCCTCCTCCACCTTGCAGCCTCTCTTCCTCTGCTGACCATTAAGATGTATGGCTCCTGCCTCTAGGAGGATTATAACAGGGTCACTGGGGGAAGAACACAAGTGATTTCTGATTCCGAATTCCTATGGCTGACATTGGGTCACTCCTTTGTGGGTTGAAGAGCCTCCCTCTGGAAAGAGATATTTCCCCCTGCAAACTCTTATACAGGCTTTATGATTCAAATCAGTATTATTTTAGGGTCAAGTGAATTTGTGTAATGCTAGCCAATTTTTTTTTCCAGTTTGATCCTATCAACACCAGCCAGTAAAGCCGGAAGACAAGAATTTGGCATTCTCAATGCCTTTTGTGGTCAATCTTATCCTCTTCAACTTCTACATAAGTCTGCAAAGGAAATCCTGTACATTCATTCTTAGAAACAGAGTTGATTTTACAAGGAGGCTCGCCGAGAGTTGAGACAGGCAGATGAAAATTACCTCCCCCACTATATTGCCAGGGCATCTAGAAGTTTAATATTTGAGATTTTGCTCTTGTGGTGAGCATCCCAACTTCCTAGAGCTCTTTGTTAAAAGGATCACATGCCTAGGAGAAGCAGACATTGAAATGCTGGGAGCCATAACCCTTTAGCACGGATGGTTAATCAGTTGCCTGCTGTCATCTTAGGTATCACACCCATCAAATCTGGGCTTAGAGTAGGATAGGGGCGGGAAGAAGAAAATGAAAAAATACATGCAGAACTTGGTAAGCCAGCCCCATGAAGACCCAACAGTGAGGCCACCTAAAATGCCTGGGGAGAGAGAAATTTAACTGAAAACATAGCAAAGTTCTCCAACTTCAAAACTGCCTTTGCTCACCTTGCTCAGAATCAGTGTCTTGGTATGCAATTTCAAAGCCAAGTACAGGACCCAACACAACTACAGCATATCTCTCAAAGTAGACCAATGATATCAGAATCACCCAGGATTCTTGTTAAACCAGACTTCTGGATCCAGTTTAAGACCATTCCTGCTATGTCAGAAACTCTGGGGTGGGAGGCAAGGAATGTGCATTTTTAACACATGGACTCAAGAGATGCTGCTGAAAATTCTCTTCCTAGCACAAGATTTTCTTAGTGTCCCTTCTGGACAGAATCTCAGTTTTCCCATCTGCATAAAATACAGCACTGGCTTGGGCGAGTGTTCTAGACAAATTTAATAAGCAGGATGGCTTTAGTGAGCGTTTTTGGATGACTTGACACCACTTAATGGTGACTAAGGATGAGTGGCTGACATAATGGGATATGATGTTTTGCCTTTATAAAACACCACTGCCCCCAGCCCACGAGGAATACATGAGGCCTGAGTAAACCACTGTCACTGTGTAGAAAATCTCCGCTATATTAGAGACAATCTCCAGCAGTGAGATAAATGTATTATTTATCAAAATTCTAGAAAACACACAACTTTCTTAGAAGGAAAGTTGGATCATTTGTTGGGATACAGAATTCTACACAGTGATTCTCCATTTGATTAACTTCCACATGGTTATGTTGTTAGATTCCCTATGTGCTGAAGGAGACGAGGAATATTTTAAGAATTTTATTTAAAACTATAGTAAATATTGTAAAATATGCTGCTGATTCACACTTCTTTCACATATAAACAAAACACCAAAAATGCTTTTAAACGCTTCACTTTTAAGTGTCTGCCTAAAAATTAAAATTCTCTTAGGTAAATATAGTACATAGCAGGAAACTCAAGAACTATGAAAATTTGGAAAAAGAAAAAAGTGACAGTTTGAAGAAAGATCCTACAGAAATTGTAGTTGTATAAGAAAATCGATTTTTTTCAGATTCATATGTAACAGTCAACATTTTGATGGAAAATACTCACTTTTAAGAGTTTTCTCTGTAAGCTCAAAAATGTGTTTTCAGAAACGAATCAAGCATTCCCTTGGGAATCACCACATTCATTATTTCTTTCCTCCCTGTGCCTTTTCGTCTTAGTAGAGTTGAAAGCATTTTGTGTCCCAGTCAGCTTGAGCCACTAGAACAAGATACCATAGACTGGATCGCTTAACCACCACACAGTTCTCTCTCCCGGTTCTGGAGGCTGGACGTCCGACATCAAGGTGCCAGCATGGTTGATTTTTGGTGAGCCCTCCTTTCCTGGCTGTGCATGGCCTTTCCTTTCTCACTATGTACTCAAACGCCTGCTCCCAGAGAGAGGGGGATCTCTCTCTCCTCTTCTCATAAGGGCACTAATCCCATCATGGGGGCCCTACCCTCACGGCCTCATGTAAACTTAAACTCCCAAATGATTCACCTCCAAATACCATCGCAGTGGGATTAGGGCTTCAATATATGGATTTGGGGCGGGGCGGGGGGTACACAAACACTTGATAACATCTTGTCTAAGGTCACACAGTGATGCTGTATGAGCCTGCAGTCAATTGTACCCAACCAAAACCACAGCGAGAAATGTTTGAAAAAGGCACAAAATGTTCAATGATTTTGATAAACACTCACAAATGCATCATATATGAGTGCTACCGATTGAATGTTTGTGTCCCCTCAAATTCGTTTTGAAGACCTTAGCCCCCACTGTGATAGTATTAAGAAGTGGGGCCTCTGGGAAGTAATCAGGTTTAGATGTGGTCAGAAAGGTAGAGCCCCCAGGATGAGATTAGTGCCCTTATAAGAAGATGAAGAGACTGGAGCTCTCTCTCTCTCCACCATGTGAGGATATAGCAAGAAGGTGGCCATCTACAAGCTAGGAAGAGAGCTCGCGCCAGACACTGAATCTGCCAGCACCTTGATCTTGGACTCCCAGCCTCCAGAACTATGAGAAATAAATACTTGTTGTTTAAGCCATCCTGTCTAGGGTAGTCTGTTATAGCAGCCCAAGCTGACTAAGGTAGTGAGCCCTTCCAAATTTCAAGGGCCTCATGGGAAGGGGTGGAACTAAGAAAGGAATAAGCCCCTTGCTCGTGTGGCTCCATGCAACTCACTGAAGTGACCTTGTCAGCTTAGGACTCAGTGCAGGGGGCAAACGAGCGCAACACAGAATTAAGTCAAGAAACTAAAATGCAAAACAACCATAGCTGGAATTGTCTACATTCTTGGTCCAGTAAGTAATAAAGTGATGGGAAAGGAAAGAATTGGGACGCCAGACGTGCTGCAGCTGTCCCCTGCAGCTACTCTGCTCCTCCTCCATAGAATGGAATGGCTCCATTTGTTTTCCTTTCATTATTCATTGTTATGTTTGGGGTTTTTTTTAATGAAAGGGGGAAAGAAAATATTTTCCCCCTTTTCATGTGATACAGTGGTTTTGTTTTTTTTTCAGTGAATCGAGAACTATTTGCTTCCCATAAAAGATGCAGGTGAACCTTTCAAATGAAGTTCAAAAACACATGGGGACAGAATATTCATCAGTGGGGGACCCTCTTCCTCCAAATGGAGGACAAATTGGCAGCAACATACTGGCTGCAAATGTTCCCCGCTGCCTCATTAGCAATATAAGTGTGGTCTCCCCCAACTTTTTTTTTTGCTTGAGGAAGATTCGCCCTGAGCTAATATTTGTGCCAATCTGCCTCAATTTTGTATGGGGGTTGCCAACACCGTATGGCTGAGGATTGGCGTAGGTCCATGCCCAGGATTTGAACCCAGGCTGCCAAAGCGGAGTGCGCAGAACTTAACCACGACACTATGGGGCTGGTCTTAATATAAGTGTGTTTTGAAACAAATTTATCTGTGACTCTCATCCTAAAGGTTTGAGGCCTCACGTTAGGCTATAGTAAGATTTTTCTGGTACTTCGGGGAGCTAAATCCCCTTGGGCTGAACTCAGTTAGGACTCAAGCAGAACCACGCAACTGTAAGAATCCACAGTATTTCTTCCTCACAGATTTCATTATGTGGTCTCCTCAAATTGATCAGTGAAAAATCAGAATCTAGAAACATAATCACAATTCAGGGCATTACCATGCCTGTTATCTCATTATTTTTCTGGAAAAATACTATCAGTCCATTAAGCTGGATAATAGAAGAATTATTGTGGGTGCTATTTATTGGGCAGCTCCTATTGATCAGGAGCTTTTCCCTCCTTATTCCTCACGACGCTTCGAATCTCGTTATTTCCATTTCATAGATAAGGAAGTTGGGATGGCCACGTGGAATCAGGATCCACTCCCAGGTCTCCCGGGATTTGGCACCCAGGCACCTTGCCACCGGGCCACACCTCCTTGAGGGTGTATGTCCAGTCCTACGTCCTCCCAGCGACCTTGCATAGTCATGCTTTTCGTGCACAATCTTTCTTATGTTTCTCACAGACAAAAAGTAACTCATATGTTAGAAATGGAAGATATTTTTTCCGGGATATTTCCATTTCATTTAATCAATGAGACCACGCCAAAGGTGATGGGCAACTTCCTAAAAGAAGAGGTGGGACTTAAGTGTCTATTGCAATGCATTAAAATCAACTTGATATTTTGTCAGAGAGGGGGCAATAGGTGGGGAGGGGTTAGTTACTTGAGAACTGCTTTTTATCAACTTTTGCTTTGTAAATTATTGTCAACATATTTTCCTTTTGACATGCAGTCAATTTAGTCTTTTAATATGAAAAATCCTAGTAAATTTTTTTCTTTGCTCCTTCCTCTTTTTTTCTTTTTTCTTTTTTTTTAAGATTGACACCTGAGCTAGCATCTGTTGCCAATCTTTTCTTCTTCCTCCCCCTCCCCCTCCTCCTCCTCCTCCTCCTCCTTTTTCTTCTTCTTCTCCCCAAAGCCCCCCCGGTGCGTAGCTGTACATTCTAGTTGTAAGTGCCTCTGGTTGTGCTATGTGGGACGCCACCTCAGCATGGCCTGATGAGTGGTGCCATGTCCACACCCAGGATCTGAACTGGCAAAACCCTGGGCCGCCGAAGTGGAGCACACGAGCTGAACCACTTGGCCACGGGGCCAGCCCCCCGCTCCTTCCTCCTAATCCAAAATGTTACTATTATAAATATATTTTAAAACAAATTTTAAACATTATATTTAAAACAAAGACATTTTTGTTTTATAAAAGGGCAGAAATTTGAATAGAAATCAGAAGACTCCATTCTCTATAATCACATAAGTTCAGTTTTCTTTGTTGAAAATGACTATTTCAGAATGATTATAATGGTGTTAACATGTGAGTACAAAACCTCTTAGGAAAGTAACAATGTTGGTTGTTTACTTTAAATTTTATTAATGTAAGAAGAGAATACTTGATGGCTATTATTGGATGCCTGAGTTCACTTCCCTTAGGAAAGAAGGGAGAGAAACAGAGGATGTAATTAGGGTGGAACACAATGAGGGTTGGAGAGGGTGGAAGGACACAATGACACTTCCCTCCCAGGCCAGCCCTAAGAGCCAGCAGGGACTGTGGACAAGGCAGCAGTTCAACCCTGCACACATCAGTAGTTGTGCACTTGAGTTTCCTCATCTCTAAGACCACAGGGCTTGGCCAGCCAGCCTCCAAAGACCTTTCCAGAGCTTTGTCAGTCTGTGATTTTGAAACAGAACTTGATTCCATTTGAGAAGATTAACAATCAGAAACGAGGAATGTCAGCAGCAATGGCTGGCTCTTTACCTGTCCTACACCACACAGATGTGTTGCTGGGGTACACCACACAGCCTTACCACTCTAGCTCAAGAAATAACATATGCCAGCAATAGTACTCACACATGACAGTAGGAAAGTTGTCACAGATTCACAAATTATATTTACCACTTTAGAAAAACGCCTATCTTTGTTCAATATTCAATCTGTCATATCAAACCCACCAGAATTATCTTGCTGGCCGTCTTAAAAAACTTACCATTATATTATTGAATAAATAAAGAACTTATAACTAGTTTATTTGCAAAAAGATTATTTTAAAATGTTTTTCTTCTCTTACATCATATAATTAACCTAGTGTCATGGATGAAAAGGAATGCTGCTAGTTAAGGCAATAGAATTACGAGGTGCTGAATGGTAAGTAGTACCTATTTGATAAGAGGAGTATCTTCTGTTCACTCCTATATGGCTTTTCTCTTGTCACGTGTCAAGGAGTAGGAACCAAAGCCCTAAGTACAATAGTCCTTATTTATACTTGCTCCTCAACATTCATTGAGTGTACATTATGTGCCAGCTTCATGCTAAAGGCTAAAGGGTAGCGACAGAATGATGAGCAAGACACATTCTGGTCCTCTGTTGACTTATAGGGACTGAGGGGAAATGAGACTGGCACCAGGAGGACCAAGAGCCCAGAGGAGGAAAACAAGATCTGAATTAGGGTGATAGTGAGCAGGGAGAAGAGGTGAAACGTTTGAAAGATATTTAGGAGGTAGAATCAACAGGACTTTAGTAACAGTTAGTATGTGGAACAAGAGAGGAGCCTGGAAGATGCAAAGGGATTTCTTGACCATGAGAAACAAGACACAGTGACTGGATTTAATGTGTGAGTCCAGTTCTTGTCACTTAGGGTAAATATTCAGTTTCAAATCTCATCGTTAATAAAAAGCCATTGTAAGAACATAATAGAAGAAATCAGATGACTTCTGCCTGAGATTCTGACCAATGGGGTACTGAAACTTGCCACTGGACACTCCATGGCTTAAGCTGGTCATTTATTAAATATAAATGATGTCTTCTTTTGAGTTCATAATAAACTCAAGTGCTGAAGGCCATGGGCTATAAAACAGTTTTAATCTAGACTATGTTTATTTAACAACTTGTCTCTTCTTTTCTTCTACTGAATCTCCCATGGCACAGATTGCCCATGAAGGACCTGTAAATAGCCAAGCCAAATGGATTGTTTTCAATCCACATCTTCCTTGACCTCTCTACAGCCTTTGAAACTTTTGACCACTTTCTCCATGAAATCCTCTCCCCTCTGACTTCCATGCACCAGTCACTTTGGTTCTCTTCCTTTCCATGGCTTCTCCCCCTCAGTCTCCTCTGAAGGCTCCTTTGCTCTGCTCAACCCTTAAAGACTGGTGACCTCAGTTACCACTTTGGGGCTGATGCCTCTCACCTCCATATCTGTAGCCCAGTCCTCTCTCCTTCCCTAATGAGCTCTACATCTATTCTTCTGGATGTCCCTCAGACACATCAAACTCAAGACGGTCATCATGAAGCTGGTCATCTCCTTGTCCTCAACACCTGCTCTTCTTCCTGTATCTTCAGCTCATTTGCCAGCACTCACGACACTCAGGACAAACTTGAGACTTGGAGTCATCCTTGACTCCTTACACCTGAGTTGATCACTATATCCTGACAATGCTACCTCTTAAATATTTCTCCACTGTGTCCCCTTTCTCTGTGCCAACTGTGATGATCCTGGTTCAGCCCCTCCATTTTCTCTTACTCAGACTCCTTTGCTCCCAGCCTTGTCTTTCTTAAGAAATGTCCTCCAAGCAAGCTCTAGAATGAGCTCTTTAATATTCAAATCTGCTCTTATTTCTCTCCTGCTTTAAATTCTTCTGCGGCTCCCCTTCACACTAAGGGTACAGCCAAGCTCCTCTGCATGGCACCCATGTGTATTCAGCTCCTCCCCAAGAATGTGTGAGTTCCTCCAGAACAGGGACTATCTGAGGTGAGCAGGAGAGGTGGGACTGGGAGTTTGGGAGTTAGAAGAGCAGCAGAGTAGCTGCTGAGGATGTTATTTTTAGTCTTCCTAGCCATAGCTAAAATCTTACCTAAACCCTACAGCAGGAGTATTTCAAGTTTAAAAACAATTCACATGTTGTAGGGGAATTTACTATGGTCATGGAATCCAAGAAGAATCTCCAGGAAGGAATACAGAGAGAAAGTAAATTTGAATTTCCATACCAACGAGCAGTGGTTTATTGAAGAATTGTTTTCAGCATTATTTTTGACATATGGAGAACCAGATGTGCCCAGGTACTTTTGAAGTGAGACAGTTTGAGGTGTAATTGTTTCCTTTATCACCTACCATTTGAGCAGCCTTGAGTAAATCAATATTGAGCCTCTCTGAGCCCAAGGTTCCTCCTTTACAAAATGGAGATAACGCCTACCTCACATGTTGCAAAATGAAGTGACATAATTACTATTAAGAGCCTTCAACTGGGCACGGCCCTTGACAGGTGCTCATGAAAAGTTGCTACTTTCCCCTCACTTCTAATCGAATTTAAATTCTTGACTCTTCATCAAAGATTTCAGAAAGTGCCCTTTAACTTTCTGTTAATTTTTGAAAAGCCCCCAAGCAAAACCAGACAAAACAAACAGCAAACGACCAAAAGAAAGATTCAACAGAGAGATTTCCCACTTCCTTAGCCAGCCCCTGCCCACAAAAGTAATGGTTCTTCCTGACTGTTTTATGCTTATTCCAGATATTTTATTATACATATATTTCTTTTTTATATCTCTCTGCCATCCCCCTCCACCAGTATCACCAATTTTGTTCTTTCTGGTGATTCCTCTTAAATCCTGAAGTGGGAGCATGATTCTGCTACTTGAGTCATCCTTCACTGGGTTCCTGGGACATAAAAAAGGCAAAATTAAATGTCAGAAGTGACACTCTATTTTCTTTGATAAATTGTAGAAATAAACACTACTTTATTTTTTTTTTCTTCCTAGGGTCAAAAGAATGGACGATAAGTTTGAAGCAATGTTCCTCTTAAATTGTTTATATTTGTGGCCATTATTTTGAAACATTTGCAAAAAAATTTTGATCTTTAAACTTTTTCCCTTGGTGTTCTTATAAAATAAAAATTGAAATGATCATACATTTTGGCCTGTTTTGATTGTTAACTTTGTGTTTTCTGATTTATATGTTATGATGTAAAAACTGGAAGTATGTCACTGTAGTTATAGAATTTTAAAATCTGAAATATAAATTGGCAGTGAGTGACTGTTTTGTTTAAATTCCTCTTGTTCCCTGTGCAGTGTTTCATTAAGCTCTAATTTCATATTACCCCAATTAAGGACATGTTTTCTCAGCCTTTCTTCATTGCCATTACCAAAGTGACTCAATCTTCAAGGCATAATTAAAACGTTGAATTCTGACCACAGTGAGAAGGGTCTCCTGCAGGGAGAGTGTGGCCCTCCCTCCTGGCCTCTCTGAAGCTTGCCTTTGGCACTCATGACAAACAGTTGAATAGTTAGAAAGACTTTAGGCTAACTTTTCATCAAATGTCCCAAGATCTATACGCCCCTGACAGCTCAACGATTCCCAGACCCTCTAAGAGAATTCAATGATAGTATACATGTAAAGCTCATAGCAGAAAGTCTAACATACCTTGAGCACTCAAAAAGAATGCCTCGTGTTATTGATTCATTCAACACGTTTATTAGACGCTTTTGACTATAAGTCTACATAAAGTCCATCCTTTTGAGAAAGGAGAAGTACAGAATAAAAATTTTGGACATACCACTTTAGACGTAGCAGTGTTAAATACCTTAATTTTACAAACATATGATATTCAGAGAGGCTAAATGACATGTTCAAGGACACACAGCACAATGGTTGGTGTCTGGAAGTCCTGTAGGTGCCTCTCAATCCTCAGCTCCTCAATCAACACATGTTTATGTGTCACTTAATGCAGCAATAAGATGTCTATTCCTGGACCTGACGATTACATGAGCAGGGACTTTAAATTTATCAGTATACTGTCTGAATTAATTTTAATATTATTTGAGCATGCCCACCCAGGATTAGGCACTCTGGCCATTTATTTACTTACTTACATTTGCTTTCTTCTTTATATCCCACTCTGTTCTGAAAGGATTTAAGGTGGCTGTTGGGCATTCTTTCAAGAGTTGAGTTCCGGTCGCTGTGGCACCAGATGCAGGACCAGTGAGGTCCAGCACAGTGTTGCTCCCCGGAACTTAAGCAAGAGGCTCTCGGCAAAACATGCACAATTCTGAGGATCCCAAACGAATGTGTTACATGAAGAGTGCAATGCCAAGTGCTTCAGGTTAACTGGAATCCCACGTATAATGCGTTAAAAAGTATGCTTAGATAGCAAGAAACATGTGGGTTATTTCTTGCCCTCGCGCTCACAAAGAAACGAGCAGACATTTTGCTATGCCCTTGCCTGGGAGGACTAAATGGTTAAGGTTCTCCATCATGAGTCAAAAAATTCTGCTTTACAGACCGGAAGGAATAAGCCACCTTTGCTTTAAACAGGCGGTTTCCAGTTTTGTGTGGCTGCTGATATTACTGGACTAGTGACAGAGGCCAAGGCAGGAAAATAGGCTGCGTTACTAATAACTCTTTGAATGTGGACACATCAGCTTGTGGGAAGGAAACTATTTAAAATGGGGCTTAGGGAAAGGGAAAAAAAATCCCCTTTCCCCATATGAGATTCTTCCACGGTGCTGTCATGCAATCTTGAAAACCTCCATAGAACAGTAGATCACTCTCATTGGATATATGCAAATTATCTGAGACTCAGTGGTTTCCTGCCAGGGAAAAACTTATAATAACAGAGCAAGAATGCAATCCGAGCCGTTGCTCTCTGAAACCCCTGAAAGAACAGAGTCGTTCTTGACAGGGCAATTTCAGCCCTTGACATTCCAGGAAATAGCTTAATAATGTCATTTAGGCTGGGGTTGTAACCAATCCTGAGACATGGAGACACAGATGCAGTATGTAAGTCTTAAAATATCAGTTCAGGGGCCATTCTTCATTTTCACACAGAGTTTAACAACAAAAACCACCAGCACAACAAAAACCAAGCAAGGCATCCTAATTAAATTTAACATTATCCCCACTAATTAAACCCAATAGAGGAAAAGGAAGGGCTCTGCCAAGAAATTACAGACGTATCCTGAAGACCATTTCCTTCCCCTTTAGTTTCCTTGGTACTGGGTCCATGCCACATCCAGGATGTGACACCCAAACAAAACTGTGTTTTGATCATTAATATACATGCAGCAGTTAACCCCATCCCCGAGCCTCAAAGGCCTTTGTGTGACACACTGGCCTTTACATTTCAATGTGTTTCATTTTCTCTGGGTGCAGTACAGCTGAAAAAGGTTATAGGACTCAGGTTAAAAGTCAGGAAATGGATCAGAGCCCCACACTATGACATCATTTTCTTGCAATGCAATGAAGCAATGACATTTCCTGCAGGAAAAATGATTAGAGCTGACAGGCAGCCCCAGTCAGCTGCAGTGTTTGCAGTGGAAGGTGTCAGGCCTGCCGCCCTCCGTCTCCTGCCTCCCTCCCTTCTCTTCCTTGGCTGGGGATTCTCAGAGGTCAGAGAGAGAGAGAGCCAGGTCACTTCCATCTTGTGACAGTCCTAACATATTTAAAATCAAGGTGTGCTAGAACTTAGTGGAATGTTTTTAATTGGTAAAGCAGTTAACACTTTAAGACCAGAAAATGTAATTTTGCATTTACAAATAGTTTGCAGATTTATTTTTAAAGTGACATGTAGGCAGAGCCACCAGGGATGATTATGCAGGTTGGCCAAAGAGAAGAGCAGGGATTAAAATGTGGCTCACCCTCTGACTGCCAATCCATGCTTGCTGACGCAGGGCTGTACCTGCCTTATTTGGATTTACGCAGAAGTCTTACGACCAGTGATGGGTGCTCTTGTAATGGGACGTAGGTTTAAGTTGAATGATGAACCAGTCTTCTGCTTTCAATCCTGGGTGTCCCTGTAACTGTGTAGCCTGTTTTGGGGGTACCTCCAAAAGCGTAAATTTGAAGACCTGCCTGATTGTGAGTTTGGGGCCAAATGAGGCTCCTGGCATGGTCACCCCAGGACATAGGGAGCCTGTTTAGGATTTACAAAGAGGTGCTGCCAATGAGCCAACACAGGCTGTGTGAGGTTCATGGCTTGGTGAGTAGGAGCTCTGGGCTAAGGTTCAGCCTGCCCAGGTGCTTTGGGATGCAAATTATTTAACTATAGTGGCAGTATTAGACCTTCATATGGTGAATCCTGATCTGGACGCCGCTGCAGGCGGATCTGGCTCAGCCCTTAAGACCAATTTAGAGACCTGAATCAAGGCAAGATGAGTTTAAGGGCTCAGGCCAAAACACTGGGACTCCACATCAAACCACCCTTGCTTCTCCATCTGTGGCTTTGTGACTGGGTTCTTGCCTCATACCTGGGTACTGGTGGCTAGGTGCCTGGTGACGGCTGCCTGGGACTAAGTGTCTGTTCCCTTGCGTTACCATTACCATGCCCCATCTGGAGACCTCAGGTCTGCCCCATAAACCACAGAGTGAGGAGTCCAGGGTTAGAACTTTCCGTCATTTTTCTTCTACTTGTCTTCCTGCTTTGATCCTCCTAGGAGTGAGCAGAATCCACAGTCTGGAATCTGCAATGACTGCAGATATGACGGAAGAAAGCGGCTTCCTGATGCTTCTTTTGTCCATTTCAAAACAAAATTCATACTAGGTCACTTTTCCATCAGTGGAGGAGAGTGAGCAGGAGTGAGATGTTTCTACTACAAAAAAGTCAAACCATTATGACTTCAGATATGTGAAATCCTAGTGTCCATGATGGATTTATACACAGAAGCAATGTTTCTAGATAGTGTGCTCGGTTCGCCAGACAGACTTAAGCTTTCTACGGCAGTTGAGTGGATAGGTGTGGCGGAAGCTCCCGGGCACAGTTTAGCCAGCATTCACAAATCAGGAGCGCTCCTGTCAATCATGGCACAGTAACTGGATGGGCCTTGCGGTGACAAATATGCTATCCCTGGAAAAATTAGCAAATATCTGAAGGGCTTTATCCATTTCTCCAGGATGAGTCAAAACACAAGCAGAGTTGTCACACCTCTCCTTCATGGTCCTGTGGGTGGGTGTTGTCTCAAATGTGTGGGTCTTCATGAGTGAGTCACTGTTTCCCAGGTCTGTCAAAAGTTTCAGTGGTTACAGGTCTAGGAAGCATAACAAGCCCAGAAAGAAGTATAGAACTTTAAATTATGGGCAAGAATGTAAAATGTCTGAAATTTTATTTCGGGGTTTCATTACTCTGCCAATTTTGCATTCTTATACTATCTAATCACTCCCTTTTAAGGACTGAAAAGGAATTTATTTTACATTTGGTATATTTGTATAGTCACAAGTTCCGGAGCCTGTATTTTTCACCATTTGAGTAAACTTTCCTCTTGCCCATACATGTTGAAAGTGTCATTTCACTTAAATACACAGATCAGACTTGTTTAAGACTCTACCCTTTCACCTCGCTCTAGGCGAGGAGAAAGATCAAAGCTGCCTGTATTTTTAGGGATGACCCCTTCTTTGTTCCGAACACTTCTCACATCTCCTGTTTGTAGAAGCTTCTGCAAAGACTGAATTGTTTTTCTATTCTGTAAATCTACTTCTCATAAACAAGGCCCTCATGGCCCATTTGGCTGGGAAGAGGGAGTTTACCCATGTGGATAGATTCTTTACTTTATGATGCTTTTTTAAAATCATGATATTAAAACATATTTTTAGTAGAAAGAATTGTCAGAATTAGATTTTTTAAAACGACGTTTGTAATTATATGATATAAGACTGATATGCAACAACTAAAAAACTCATCAGTTACCAATTCTGCCATGAAATAACCAAATGACTGAAAGTTTTTATGTATTTTCTTTTTACTTTAAAGTGACCCTAATTCATTTATTAACTCATTAATTCTTTTTGGATGAAGTAGAATATAAAATAAATGATGATATTATTTCACTTAATTTATTTATTATTGATTAAGAATATGCAGAGTGCTCGCCAGGGGACAAGATGCAATGAACTGGGAAATGAAATCTCCTATCCAC